TTATCTCCCTCCCTTGTATCTGTGCATCGAGCCCTGCCAACATTTCCACATTTCCTCTGGATTCCTGTCTTCATCATCTAAGGGTTCATTCACATATTTATTCATATCTTCAAAACAATCATCTGGTAACCTCCTTGCCAGTTGAACAATTTCCTGAACCTGACTCTCAAGCAAGGGAAAACCAGTGAAAGAATTAACTACAGAAGGCCATAACTTTCCCCAGCCTGCATTTAATGTTGATTGGGGCACTTTATTCCATGCACTTCTAGCATAGGTGATAGCATCTGCAATGTTAAATTTATTCCAGAAGCTTGGTACTGGCAAGCTGGAGTCAGTCCATTGATGCAACTAGTTTTTTCATAACTTTTTTTTGTGTGGTTACACTTGAATACCTTAATAACTCCCCAATCCAGTGGTTGAATTAGAGATGTATTTGGAGGTAAAAATACAACTTTTACATGTGGGGTCACATCCAGCAAAGCTTGTGGATGAGTACGGGAATTATCAAGAATGAAGAGAGCCTGAATGCAAAGTTCTTGCTGTGCAGGTAAAACTTGGCTTCAAGAATAAAGTTATGCTTAACCCTTTCAGGGTTTCGGACGTACTAGTACGGCTTACGCACCAGGGTTTTTGACGTACTAGTACGCCTAAATTCTAGCGCCCTCAAATCTAGTGAAAGCTGGTAGGCCTACATATGATATGAAAGAATGGGTCTATGTGGTCAGTGTGCACAGTATAAAAAAATCCTGCAGCACACTGTGTAATGAGAAAAAAAAACTATGACTGTTTTTGGATTAAAACAGTAACTTTGCACTGTATTTTCGTATGGTATTTATTGTTGTATTCTAGTTTTCCTGGTCTCATTTTATAGAATGGAAGACATATTACAGAAATTGAGATGATTTTGACTGGTTTTACAATGAAAAGTACCTTGAAATTGAGCTCAAAGTAACAGAAATGTTCAATTTTTACCAAAGTTCAAAAGTAAACAAATCATGCTAAGCGTCCAATACACGTCAACTGGTGAGTCTAATATTCTTTCACAAGTGCGCTGATGGAGTGAATGATGGAGTGAATGATGGTGAAAGTTTTTCTTTTTCGGGCCACCCTGCCTTGGTGGGAATCGGCCGGTGTGAATAAAAAAAAAATAAATGCCGATTTTATTTTACATTTCTACTAATGCAGTATTGCATAACAGTAAACCTTCTATTATTTTGTGAGAATAAAAAATTAAGAGTGGAAGCAAAAGATGTAAGGGGCGTGGGGAAGTGACTAATGAACAGAGGAAATGTTATTTTAGTGCCAGGAATGTCTTTCTTGTTTATTCTGGACCCTATTTGGAAATTGGCATCTTTTGAAATTTGTGTGAAATTGGCAAAATTGCTAAATTCTGACCACTGTATTGAATAGTTGAAATCAGTAAATGGGTGGTTTCTTGTACTCATTCGATAGAAAAATTGGAGTTCTAGCAAAATAATTATGATTTTTGTCGACTAGTACACTGGAATTGGCCGAAAATAGGGCTCAAAGTGGGCAAAATCACCGATGCGCAAATATCGTCGAGACCGCTAACTTCGCGAAAGCATAATTCCGTAAGTTTTCCATCAAATTTCATACTTTTGGTGTCATTATGACCGGGAAAAGATTCTCTATCTTTTCACAAGAAAAATAATTTTTTTTTTTTTTGAAATTTGGGTGACCCTGAGAACAAGTCTGGGAGAGGGCCTGGGGATCCTGAAAGGGTTAAACCAGTCAATAAATATTTCCTCTGTCATCCATGATTACTGGTTTGACCTTCAAATTACTGTTAAGGTGTTTTTATCTACACCTTTCAAAGCACAAGGATTCTTAGAGTGGTAAATAACCATGGGCTTACACTTGAAATCACCTGATGCATTACTGCAAAGGAGCAAGGTAAAGCAATCCTTTGCTGCCTTGAAGCCCGGTGCACTTTTCTCTTGCTGACTGATATAAGTTCGTGTTGGCATTTTCTTCCAAAAAACACTTGTCTCATCAGCATTAAACACTTGATGTGGCTCATAGCCACCCTCAGAAATAATTTCCTGCAATTCAGCAGGGAAATTACTTGCTGCTGTATGATCAGTTGAAGTACTTTCACCAGAAAACTTAATACAGTGGACCCCCGCATAACGATGGCATCGCATAGCGATTTTTCCGCATAACGATTACTTTTATCGCAAAATTTTTGCCGCGCATACCGATTAAAAACCCGCATACCGATTTTCGTCCGAGACGCGTCCAATGTGCCCTCAGCCAGCCTCACATGTGCCGCTCCGTCCCATTGTTTACCAGCCAGCCTCCGCGGTAACATCCAAGCATACACTCGGAATATTTCGTATTATTACAGTATTTTCGGTGCTGTTTCTGGAAAATAAGTGACCATGGGCCCCAAGAAAGCTTCTAGTGCCAACCCTGTGGTAAAAAGGGTGAGAATTAGTATGGAAATTAAGAAAGATTTTGAAGGGTTTGGGGCTAACCCTGAGAAGCCTATGCCAGTTGTGGAATCCATTGTGCCTACTTCAAAGATTAAGGAAATGTGTGCACAGTGGGTTGAACTGCAAACCTTTATAGACGAAAATCACCCTGACACAGCTGTTGCAAGCCGTGCTGGTGACTATTTCAATGACAATGTTGTGGCCCATTTTAGACAAATCGTAAAGGAACGGGAGGTACAGAGCTCTATGGACAGATTTGTTGTGCGACAGAGGTCCAGTGACTCTCAAGCTGGTCCTAGTGGCATTAAAAGAAGAAGGGAAGTAACCCCGGAAAAGGACTTGCTACCTCAAGTCGTAATGGAAGGGGATTCCCCTTCTAAACAGTAAGAAGATAATGCTCTCACTCCTCCTCCCATCCCATCAATCATCACCAGATCTTCAATAAAAGTAAGTGTCATGTAATTGTGCATGCCTTTTTCAGTTTGTGTGTATTAAAATTAACATTTCATGTGGTAAAAAAAAATTTTTTTCATACTTTTGGGCGTCTTGCACGGATTAATTTTATTTCCATTATTTCTTATGGGGAAAATTCATTCGCATAACGATTATTTCGCATAACGATGAGCCCTCTTGCACGGATTAAAATCGTTAACCGGGGGTCCACTGTATTATGTAACTTATTATGCAACTTAAAGTTTTGGAACCAACCTGTGCTAAACATACACTCATTTTCAGGCCTTCCTTCCTTATCACACCCTTCTTTAAACAACTATAAGGCCTTTTCCCTAATTAGGTTGAAATTAAGTAGTGTACCTTTCTTTGTCTTTTGTTCGATCCGCTCAAGCAACAAGTTTTCTGTTTTATACACTTGCTGTTATCTACTTGTCATTGTTTTTATGAGATGACATCTTGGGTTATTCGTTACACAAGCTCGTATATTCACCTCGTTTTTTCTAACTGTATGAACTGATGCTTCATTAAGTCCATAGGCCCTCACTATATCCACCACATGTGAGCCACTCTTAAGCTTATCTAATATCTTGAATTTCTTTGTAATTCCTAGACTTACACGCTTCAACCTTTTCTTGCTACTTTCAGCAACACTCACATGCCTACTAGGTGCCATGATTGCTTGGCAGATTTAAGATATGGCAAATAAAATAAGTATCTAAACAAACACAGCGAGCTCCCAGAAGATCGTCCTACACGTGTATGAACCAAACTGAAGGCTGGGAGGGTGGTGAAGGTGGATGTGGATGGCTGAGGGTGGCGGGGTTGGCGGTAGGCCTCCCCCATTGACTCAATGGTGTAGCCCACAGCCAATCCCGCGGGCGACTGCGGGCTCAAAATTTTTTCCCCTCTCACAAACTGAACCATGTTAAATTAATTTTACGAAGTGTTAAATAATATTGTGCCACAGTTCTTCAATCGTGCTATACCTGAATCATACCAAATAAACTCGTGCTAAATGATGGTCTACTGTACGTATAACTCTTGGTCTCCTAGACAACTCACAGTGAAACCTCGATTTAACAGACCTCAAATTGTCCATTACTGTTAAGGTCCACTGGGTAAATTGATTATGGCTTTAATGAACACAGTCGGTTCTTTAAAGAATTGTCCATTACTGCTATGGTTCACTGGATAATTATTTTTTTTCAGATTTAATGGGCAAAGTTCATTGTTTATAGAATTGTCCAGTACTGTTACGATCATGGGAAAACAATCTCATCATTTTGATTTAACCCGTAAACGGTCCAAACGTATATATACGTTTTTTCAACATTTGAAAGTATGTAAAAAAGTAGATCTTTTTGTTTTTTTACATTTGAAAATGTGTAAAAAAACTGATCTACTTTTTTTTGTTATATTTGAAAATATGTAAAAAAAAGCGTAGATCTACTTTTGTAGCACTACACATGTGAACATAGATCTGCTTGGACCATTTACGGGTTAATAAACATTTAGCACTGCCAGACACCCTTTTCTCCCTATTAGTCCATTAAATCTAAATTTCACTGCAATTCCTTTCATTTCTTCCTACTCAAACACTCCTGATTCTTAACTGTTTTCCTCAGTACTCAAGTAGTGTTGTCTTTTGCTTCCCAAAAACTCAATACCACAGTGTTAGGAGTCATGCAGGGAATACTGCCCTCAATGTATTTAACTTGCATGCTCCTGTTGATAAGTTTAATTATATGAACCTTCCATCTTGTGCTCAGTTAAAATAAAAATTAAAAGGTTATTAACGTATCATGTAGGCTAGCCACTGCTGGTCGTGAAGGTGACCCAATCACAGCTCAAGCTTCAGGGCCCCCAAAATGTAGATCCACCACTGGTCAGAACCCACCATTATTGTTGGTGACATATGTACTGCTATATCCACATACAGTAAATACAAATACCTCAAATTCATCATTCATCTCGCTGTCAACTTTGTAACTTGTTTTAAAAAAGAAATTGGAATTAGAACCTCAACTGTACTAGAATATGTGTGATATACAGGATTTATGCCTGAAAAATACACACAATCAATTCACATACCGTGACCAAGGCTCCAAAGGTTCCAAGGAGACCGCCTCCTAGGACATCCCACCAGTGATGTCTGTTGTCCCATATGCGTGACTGACAGCAAATTATCGTCCATACAGCCCATATCATTTGCAGTGATGGAGCCCCCAGGACAGACCATGTATTCCATAGACGTTGCTTAATGTACACCTTCAACAGGACAAAATATATTCTGAGTGCACAAACAATTTTATAAAACAAATACTGTGTAGTGCTTATCCTACAGCACAGTTCTTTTTAGGTTTTTGTATTTTTATAGGACACAGTTATCAATCTGGTTTTCATTGTCCCTTTAAAAAGGTTCAGAATTCTTGATTATGGATAATTATTTTTAAGAGCATAATTTAAATAAAAGCATGATTATCAAAATAAATTGAAGTTTTGAAAACATATTCATACCAAGTCCTAATTATGATTCAAGAAAATGCATACAGTGAAGTACTGTACATTTCTAGTCTATGGTGCACAAGCCTTTTACTGAACCATTTACACTGTAATGAAGGTCTATTTTGCCACAAAAAAAATTAGCATATGTCACAGGCAGCAGAAAGCAGCCAGTTAACCAAAATTTTGATTTATGAGTAATAATAACAAAATGGAAAAAAAAATTGGTTAATTTGTAATATACAAGATAGAGATACACTCAAAAATACCTATGGCATAAATTATACATAGTGTTAAAAGATGCAATAGTCATAAATTCTAGAGATATAAACTGTTATGAAACAGCATGACATACTACGTATATGTAAAAAGAAAAATTAGAGCTTATGTAAAAAGATAAGAGGTTCCCTTATCTATTGTAAGATTATAGTACTGTACCAGTGATGTTAGACAATGTTTGTGATTAAAAATGAACAGAAGTATTATAAGATGAAACTATCAGTCCTATTCAAGTAAAACTGAGATTCAAAATGCAAAGATCCAGTAAAATCCCTCATAATTGCATCTCAAAGATGCTAGTGTCCTAGAATTGTGCATACAGACTCTCATATCTGGAATCCTCGCAGTTCTGAGGAATTTTTTGGGACCCTTGGTAAGCCCTGCAATTGGGAGCCTGGATATTTGGGTTCTCCCCATTTACAATATTACATTAAGAACAAAAGTTTAATATTTATTTGATTGCTCATGAGCTCCTGCCATCTGTGCTTTTCATAAGCCTAGCCAATAACTTTCAAAATAATTTTTTCTACAAATAATCTCTCAATATGACGACCCTCTATACAATGGAGTTCAGAAATATGAATCAAAACCTGCTGAACTAATTGACTTGGAAACAATAGACAACTTCGGTTCAGTAGACTAAGCACTAAAAATCTGACCCTGAGTTTAGCATACAATGTCAATTTATATGTGAGCTTGTGATCTTTAATTTCATTTAGTTAAGATTATAGGAAAGCCAGCCAAAAAATCAAATTTCTGTACTTTATGGATAACACTGCATTTGTGCACACACCAAGAGCAACTTACGATCATAAAAATAGATGAGAAGACGGAAAGAGAGGCATGGCCAGATGGGAATGACTTCATTGAGTCCACGAGTCTTGGGTGCGAGAGCCCATACGGGTTCGTGCAATTGTGCCACGTCACAGTGACATATCTGAGGGTCAAGAGTGTCCTATATAATTTTTTATTACATTTGAAGAAAACTTCAAAGACTAAGACACATGTGCACAGTTGGGTATCTTTATTGATTAAAAGCTTCCCCTGCACAGCATGTTTCTTCAGTCAAATGCAAAGGAAGCAGGTGTAGTAGTGAAATAAAGACAATGTAATCAGTCCATCAACCTTGGAGAAAAACTATTTTAAGGAGGTCAATCTCCAAGGTTGATAGACTGATTACATAATCTTTATTTCCCTACTACACCTGCTTCCTAAGTACATATCTGACAGAAGCCTACTGTATAATAATAATAATAATAATAATAATAATAATAATAATAATAATAATAATAATAATAATAATAATAATAATACATTTACTACAAGTACATGTACAAGGTATACAGGCCTAACTGACATCAATGACATACAGTGGACCCTTGGGTAAAGGCATTAATCCGTTCCAGAGAGCTTGCCTTTAACCGAATTAATTTTCCCCATAAGAAATAATGGAAATCCAATTAATCCGTTTCAGATATCCAAAAGTATTAACAAAAAATATTTTTTTGGACGGTTACAAAGCATGGCTTGCTTCTACAGTGTTTTAAAAGCTGAGGTTGGAGAGTTGAAGGAGGAGGTCTTGCTTCTCCAGGAGGAGATTAGGAGGCTGAAGGTCCACCTCAATGGGCCTGGGAGAGAGTGTGAGGTGGTTGGAGATGTGGGGAATGAGGCTTCTAGCAGTGAGGTGCAGTCTGTCTCTCACTGTGAGGAGGCTGTTGGTGGGGTGGTAGCAACGGCTACCAGCAGTGAGGTGCAGCCCAGCACCTGCTACAAGTGGCGAGTTGTTCACAGTAATGGGAGGCGCATCAGAGTAAGGAAATTTAAAGAGTGCAGAATCTGAAGGTAGGAAATCGCTTCTCTGTTCTCCAGGATGAATGTACTTCAGTGGCCAGTGAAGGTAAGGGTACTACTGCCCCTGCTAATGAAGGTAAGCGCATTCTTGTGGTTGGTGACTCTCAGGTAAGATATGTTGATCGTGCTTTTGTAATAGGAATAAGAAGATGAGAGATAGAGTGTGCTTCCCTGGAGCTGGTGTTGGGACATTGTCAACAGACTGGATAATTTTCATGTCAGGTAATGGGAACAAGCCCATTATCTGTCTCAGTGCTGGTGGAAATGATATTGGGAAGGGTAGGAGAGAAGAGCTGCTAGATAAGTACAGGTCAGCTATAGATTTCATTAAGTCTAAGGGAGGGATCCCAATCATATGTAGCATCTTGCCTAGAAGGGAGTAGGAAATGAATGGTTGTCTAGGGCAATTGGTGTAAATTGCTGGCTAGACAGATACTGCAAGGAACTTGCAATCCCATTCATTGACAACTGGAACAACTTTTATGGCAAACATGATATGTATGCAAGGGATGGGGTTCATCTCTCTGGGGCAGGGGGGGTAGCACTTGCAACTCGATTGAGAAGGCATTGGTGAAATGCCTATGATTTTAAACTGATGGAAGATAGAGGTATGGGTGTGTGTGGGAAACAAGCAGGTTGCAACACTAGGGTTGGAAACAGTAAATGTATAAAAGGCATTCAGCATGAAGTTATAAATAAAGACAATAGAACAGGTCAGCAAACAAAGGGGGACAGCAGAGGGCAGCAAGGGACTAGCTCCCTTAAGGTTACTATACTAATAGCAGGAGTGTTAGAAATAAGATAGATGAGCTAAGATTAATTGCAAGTGCAGGAAACATAGACATTATTGCTATAACAGAGACCTGGCTCAATCTGAAAGATAGAGAGATGCCCTCTGAATGTCACATACAAGGCTATAAATTATTCCACACTGACAGGGTCAACAGGAAAGGTGGTGGAGTAGCGATGTATGTCAGAGACAATTTAAATTGTTGTGTTAGACAAGATATTAAATTAGAAGCGTCAGCCACTGAATCTGTTTGGTTACAGCTTCTCGAGGGCCGAGAAAAACTAATTTTGGGTGTGATTTACAGGGCCCCAAATCTTGATAGGGAGTGCAGTAAACTTCTATGGGACGAAATTCGTAAGGCATCTACATACGAAAATGTTGTGCTAATGGGAGATTTCAACTATAGACAGATTGACTGGAGCAATTTGACAGGAAATTTAGAGTCGGGTGACTTTCTTGATACGATCCAGGATTGTTTTTAAAACAGTTTGTGACAGAGCCAACTAGGGGAAATAACCTCCTTGACTTGGTTCTTGCCAGTAGGGAAACACTAATTAATAATCTTGAGGTTAATGATGAGCTTGGGGAGAGTGATCACAAATCACTCAGTTTTAACATATCATGGAATTCCCCTAATAATGGCAATCAAGTCTCCCGTCCCTGACTTTCGCTTGGGTGATTTCATAGGACTGAAAAATTACTTAGGTGGGGCTGAACTGGAATGACCTGACTAGGGGTCAGGTAGGTGGTGATGGTTGCCGATATGATGCTTTCCAGGGCATAGTTCTAGCTGCTCAGTCAAATTATGTTCCAAATAGGGAAATCAGATCAAACAAAAATGATCCTAAATGGATGAACAATAGATTAAAATATCTGATTGGTCAAAAGAGAGGCATATATAGGCAAATCAAAAGAGGAGAGGGGCAATTAAGAAATCGATATATTCAGTTAAAGAGAGAAATAAAAAGGGAATTAGAAAAGCAAATAGAGATTATGAGGTTAAAGTTGCAAGAGAATCGAAGACTAACCCAAAAGGATTCTTTCAGGTATACAGAAGTAAGATCAGGGACAAGATAGGCCCACTCAAAAGTTCCTCGGGTCAGCTCACTGACAGTGATAAGGAAATGTGTAGAATTTTTAACACATACTTCCTCTCAGTTTTTACACAGGAGGATACCAGCGATATTCCAGTAATGATAAATTATGTAGAACAGGACGATAATAAACTGTGCACTATTAGGGTCACAAGTGACATGGTCCTTAGGCAAATAGATAAATTAAAACCTAACAAATCCCCAGGCCCTGATGAACTGTATGCAAGGGTTCTAAAGGAATGTAAAGAGGAGCTTAGCACACCTTTGGCTAATCTTTTCAACATATCACTACAAACTGGCATGGTGCCAGATAAGTGGAAAATGGCAAATGTGATACCTATTTTCAAAACAGGTGACAGGTCCTTAGCTTCGAACTATAGACCAATAAGCCTAACCTCCATAGTGGGAAAATTTATGGAATCAATAATTGCCGAGGCAGTTCGTAGCCACCTTGAAAAGCATAAATTAATCAACGAATCTCAGCATGGTTTTACAAAGGGGCGTTCCTGCCTTACGAATTTATTAACTTTTTTCACTAGGTATTTGAGGAGGTAGATCATGGTAATGAATATGATATTGTGTATATGGACTTCAGTAAGGCTTTTGACAGGGTCCCATATCAGAGACTATTGAGGAAAATTAAAGCACATGGAATAGGAGGAGAAATTTTTTCCTGGATAGAGGCATGGTTGACAAATAGGCAGCAGAGAGTTTGCATAAATGGGGAGAAATCAGAGTGGGGAAAGCGTCACGAGCGGTGTTCCACAGGGGTCAGTGTTGGGCCCCTGCTGTTCACAATCTACATAAACGACATAGATAGGGCATAAAGAGCGACATCGCAAGTTTGCCGATGACACCAAAATAGGCCGTCGAATTCATTCTGACGAGGACATTCGAGCACTCCAGGAAGATTTGAATAGACTGATGCAGTGGTCGGAGAAGTGGCTAGATGCAGTTTTAATATAGACAAATGCAAAGTTCTAAATGTTGGACAGGACAATAACCATGCCACTTATAAACTAAAAATGTAGATCTTAATATTACGGATTGCGAAAAAAGATTTAGGAGTTCTGGTTAGCAGTAATCTGAAACCAAGACAACAGTGCATAAGTGTTCGCAATAAAGCTAATAGAATCCTTGGCTTCATATCAAGAAGCATAAATAATAGGAGTCCTCAGGTTGTTCTTCACTTATACATCCTTGGTTAGGCCTCTTTAGATTATGCTGCACAGTTTTGGTCACCGTATTCAGAATGGATATAAATTCTCTGGAAAATGTACAAAGGGGGATGACAAAGATGACCCCATGTATCAGAAACCTTCCCTAGAGGATAGACTAAGGGCCCTGAAACTGCACTCTCTAGAAAGACGTAGAATTAGGGGGGATATGATTGAGGTTTATAAGTGGAAGACAGGAATAAATAAAGGGGATGTAAATAGTGTGCTGAAAATATCTAGCCTAGACAGGACTCGCAGCAATGGTTTTAAGTTGGAAAAATTCAGATTCAGGAGGGTATAGGAAAGTACTGGTTTGGTAATAGAGTTGTGGATGAGTGGAACAAACTCCCAAGTACAGTTATAGAGGCCAGAACGTTGTGTAGCTTTAAAAATAGGTTGGATAAATACATGAGTAGATGTGGGTGGGTGTGAGTTGGACCTGATAGCTTGTGCTAACAGGTCGGTTGCCGTGTTCCTCCCTTAAGTCAATGTGACCTGACCTGACTAGGTTGGGTGCATTGGCTTAAGCCGGTAGGGACTTGGACCTGCCTCGCATGGGCCAGTAGGCCTTCTGCAGTGTTCCTTCGTTCTTATGTTCTTATGTTCTTATGACTCTTGTTGGTGTATGGCAGACAGGTAGGAGGCAAGAGGGAGACGAGTTTATTATGCTTCAATATGACGATATCATCTCTACAGCTTATTTATCTATCACAATTCATCTAATATGACATAATAAACAATACATGTAGTATTAATAACATAGAAACACGATATATACCCTAAAATGAATAAATATATCATAATGTATGAGAGGAGTAAAGTGATGGAAGTGTTGTTGTTTGGTTTATAGGGGCCACTGAGAGAAGCCATACATAGTGGTGGTGGTGGAGGCACCAGTAGAACCCACCAACACTATCACACTTAAATAATGTATGTAATTTATAAATAAGAAATATTTACATTTTAATTTATAAATAAGAATTTTTTTTATGTTATTAACACACCGGCCAATTCCCACCAAGACAGGGTGGCCCAAAAAAGAAAAACTTTCATCATTCACTCCATCACTGTCTTGCCAGAGGGGTGCTTTACACTACAGTTACAAGACTGCAACATTAACATCCCTCCTTCAGAGTGTAGACACTGTACTTCCCATCTCCAGGACTCAAGTCTGACCTGCCGGTTTCCCTGAATCCCTTCATAAATGTTACTTTGCTCACACTCCAACAGCACGTCAAGTACGTATATTAAAAACCATTTATCTCCATTCACTCCTATCAAATATGCTCAGGCATGCTTTCTGGAAGTCCAAGCCCCTCACACACAAAACCTCCTTTACCCCCTCCCCCCCATCCTTCCTAGGCTAACCCCTACCCTGCCTTCCCTCCACTACAGGAGGGAAGTCATTCTGATTTGTTCCATTCTCTCTACATGTCCGAACCACCTCAACAACCCCTCTTCAGCCCTCTGGATAATAGTTTTGGTAATCCCACACCTAATTTCCAAACTACGAATTCTCTGCATTATATTCACACCACACATTGCCCTCAGACTTGATATCTCCACTGCCTTCAGCTGCCTCCTGGAGAATGCTGGAGGAGAAATAAGAAATATTTACATTTTAATTTATAAATAAGTAAGTTTACTCAGGTATACAGGTATACACAAATACAGTTACGTACATAGATCATCATACATAGCAGCACGTGTGTAAAGTACCTAGGATAACCCAAAAAAGTCAGAGTGACTTATGTATTTCCATTGGGGTCCTTTTATATTTATACTTACACAGTGGACCCCGCTTTACGATCACCTCCCAATGTGACCAATTACGTAAGTGTATTTATGTAAGTGCCTTTGTACGTGTATGTTTGGGGGTCTGAAATGGACTAATCTAATTCACAATATTCCTTATGGGAACAAATTCGTTCAGTACTGGCACCTAAACATACTTCTGGAATGAAATAATATCGTAAACCGGGGTTCCACTGTATTTACTTTTATACTTACACTTTTATATTTACACTTACCTTGGAGAAGATGTTAGTTTAATTAGTTAGTTTGATGGAGGAGACGCTGGCAGAGGTTTAGGGTGGTAGAAGATACGTAGCAGGCCGGCGTATGTTCAGCGGCCCAATGCACATCCAACAACATTGGAGAGTTACTTTCGTGTCGTTTTCCTATCGCTTACTCACTTAACTTACTTGCTATACTGTTAATTCTACACTTTATCGCTGGCTGGCACTATAGCCTTTATCGATACCTGCTGCTTTAGTATCATACATATCGTAGAATCACTGAATCACTGCAGAAGGCACATTCACCCCTCTCTCTTCCTCCTCCACTTTGGTACTTTGCTATGAGTTTTTTCTTGAATTCTATTGTGCTTCTTTCCTTCTTTACCACAGGGCTGGCACTAGAAGCTTTCTTTGGGTCCTTGATGGCTTATTTAGCAGTTACAAGCACTAAAACAATGGAATAATAAAAAATATATCGCATGTACGCGAGGAATCGTCCTCTCTGGCTTGTAAACAATGGCACACTACCTGTACATGGGCTCAGGCCGCACAGACATGTTCGGGACGAATGCCCTTAACCGAGTTCTTGGGTGCTAGCCGAGCCAATATTTTGATGCAAAAGCGTGCTGCTATCCGATTTTAGCGTTAGCCGATGCCGCCGTTACCCAAGGGTCCACTGTACTACTATGTAGAAAGCCCCTTGTTATGCAGAGCATTTCAAGCAAATTAGGTCAGTTTTGTCCCAGGATGCGACCCACACCTGGTCTCAGACCGAGCCGTGGGGGCATTGACCCCCGAAACCCTCACCAGGTAAACACCAGTCGACTGACTCCCATGTACCCACTTTACTGATGGGCGAACAGGGACAGCAGGTGTCTAATGGAAACACGTCTCTAATGTTTTCCAGCCGTACCAGAGGAGATTCAAACTCCGGACCTCAGTGTGTGAGCTGAGTGCGCTAGCAATCAAGCTACGGGCAAAACGTTTCATCAGTAAAGATACCCAACTGTTGCACAGATGTCTTACTCTTCACCTTGTCAGTATTTTATACCATTTTCAACATAAGAGAAAACTCTTTTCCCTCATATGCTGATAAATCAGAATTGATTAAAATAAAGCAAGAGACAAATCTCAACAAAATAAGAAGAAAGAAAATAGAATGAAAACTTGAAATAAAATACTGCAAAATGAAAATCTGAGAATAAGATCAAGTAAAATTGAAAAAATGGCAAGGGAAAATTATTATAACATTCATAGGGAAGAATAAGTCTGGTAAAAGCTTATTTTAATCACTGATAAAAAAATAATTTTTTTTTCACATTGCTTGACATACAAAAACTGTTATGGTATTAAAATATACACGGAATGTACTGTACAAGGGACTGCATGTACCACATACAGTACAGTATAGTGGAACCTCGGTACTTGTACTTAATTCATTCCAGAAGGCTGTTCTAGTGCCGATCCATTCGAGTATCAAACAGATTCTTCCCAATCAATTTTCTTTTTGGTTGGCTGTTATCGCTAATCTTCATAGGCCCCTTGGTTACTTATTTATACATACATATAATATAAAAAAAACACCAAAAAATGCATAGAAACATGAAATAGTTTACAGCGAAGCTCTGGCAGGTCATGTTTGTTTGGTCGAGTGCTGAGCTTTGTTCGAGTAGGGAGCTGTTCGAGTACTGAGGTTCCTCTGTACTTCAAGTTTACCAAAATAATGATTAGACATAAATAAGAATGTGTACAGTATTAATGAACAGTATACCCTGTTTAATTATTATCAATGCACATTTTGAAATGCATCAAAACTGAGCATGTTACAAAGTTTGCTTATGATAAAAAGACATACCCGTACTGCAGTTTACACTGCTCTGATGTGATATTTGGTTTACACGTGTCCCAGAAGTGTGGTCTGGCCTCGCCCACAACTGTCTTTGTCAAATCATTGATGAAAAACATGAACAGGCCTCCCACGAAGAGGTCAGTGATATACCCCCAGCTGCGACGAAGCCCTGACTGGAATGGTGATGCCCCCATGGCTGGCTGGGATGGGGGGACAATCCACTCTACAATTACCATCTGAAAAGGTAAAAAATACACACCAACCAATCTATAGTAAGAGTATTTCTGTAGACAGGTTTCATAACTTAAACTTGCATCACACAAACTCATACATGTGCCTAGCACATAAATGCTGTAACTTTGCAATACAGGAGGGCCCCGTTTGTACAGCTCTTAGATTCCTGACCCTGTGCGATAAATGAAAATCGCAAGTGGGTGGAAAAAAGCAGTTTTCATTATTGCATATGTCAATACAGCGAGGCATACAATACTTATCTTAAAACACTTACACAACTGTTGTGTGAAAACGGTGGAAAAGCAGTGAAATGACTGAACTTAATTGAACAATGGCTCAGTTGAAAGCGACAAAAATGTGGAACACTGAAAAGAGGGTGCAGAATAGGCAGGTGTCAGTTACCTCCATATATAATGAAGTAAGATAATTCAGGTATTATTACCTTCAAATACAGTTACATAGAATGTATATGTCATACATAGCAACATATGTGTAGGAAACTAGATACTCCAAAAAAATGTCAACAGAGCCTGTGGCTTAAAGTTTCCCATTAACGGAGGGCCGTTGATTCCTGGTGGAACTTTCCATGATTACTGTACATACGTATAGTTGTACCCCAGTCAAATGTTTGTTTATGAATGTTTAGCAATACAAATTTACAATAACTGCAATAAGTAGAAACATTTATGATGACATTTCATGTATCTTGTTCTGAATCACTTTCAAGTCATAACTTAGAGAAAAAAAAGTAGAGGCCAGAAGACAGGTTGGAGAAGGGGGACAGAGAGGATGGTAGCCATGGAAGTAGCAGAATTAGTAGCAGCAGTAGTAATAGTAGTAGTAGTAGTAGTACTAGTAGTAAACACTAGTAATAAGAGCAGTGGTTGCAGTAGTAGTACAATAGAAATGAAGGTACAACACTAATTTACTGTCAGCAGAGCATCTGGCACCTCTTTTAGTCCAGACAAAATTGCCAAAATAGGTAACCTGCACCAGAGAACCAGTCAATAAAATGGCTGTGATCACCAACATGAGAGGAAAGATCATTGTTGGTGGTGACAAGACAAAACTTCTTTTGTACTCCATAAGTCTGTCAGGAAGAGAGAGACCAGTTTCAACAAAGAATTGGAGAGGACAGGAGGAACAGGAAATATACTAGACACCGGAAGTATGAACTAGATTACTATAAATCATATTATTTTGATGAAACGCAAGTTTGATATCCAAAGGGCATAGGGTAGGGCTAAAATTTTGAAGGTTGGAAATGTAGGAGAGGTAAAAGAACAAGAGTTTTCACAGAAGTGAATTTTGGAGAAAAGAAAGTCTGTTTAGCATGAGAGTGCGCAGCATTTATGAAATTGGGAGGATAGCCAAGGCGAGGGAATGAGATGCTTTTCGTCCAACTGATCTTCAGCACATGCCCAAAAATTATCTAAATTGTTTTAAAGCAAAAAGGCAAGATTTCTCTTAAGTACTTAAAATGTTCTGTCTATATTCAATATACCACTGCATAGAATGTACTGTAGATACTTATAGATCACTAAAATGCAAGAAACTTCATTTAAATATTTCTTAAAAAAAAAATGAGAAATTTTAAAGATTATTACTGACCACAAAGAAGGGCAAGAAGAGTGTAATACAGATGAGTATGGTGATGGAGATAGTATCATAGTGGAAACTCTCCTGATGCGGGGGTCATCACATGATACAGTGGTGTGTGATGGTGATATAACACCAAGCAGTGTTAATGACAGTCCAGCAGCAACTGAAAGGCAAAGATCACTGATGAAATACATGTACATGTATATTTTTTTTTAACATACCAGCCATCTCCCACCAAGGCAGGGCAGCCTGAAAAAAAAGAAACATAAGTTTTTTTGTTCTTTTTATATTTAATAATTTATATAGGAGAAGGGGTTACTGGCATTTTAATCGCTTCTTACAACACGAATGACTTATGGAGGAAGGATTCTTCTCCACTTCTGCACAGAGAATAATTATTATTATTATTATTATTCTATTCACAGGGAAATGTCTGGGAAATGACTGTAATAAGGTTAGGGGAAAAAAACAGCATGAGAACAAGAACAAAAAATGAGCAAAAACATTGAGAACAGAAAGAGAAACACTTGAAATACACCACATTACTGTATTTAAAAACACTCTTTAAATATTCTCAACTTATTGCTGTAGCATCAAGTAACCAGAATTCTAAACTTCGCTACACCAAGCACAGAAAAAAAGTATGTCTGTCAATTCAAGAACCCTTACGATATGTCTATTATTTGTTATTGTTTATTGTTTATGTTTCTATTCACTGAAAGTCTACCCATCAACTGTCTTCATTCCTACCCATCAACTGTCTTCATTCCTACCCATCAACTGTCTTCATTCCAACCCATCAACTATCTTCATTCCAACCCATCAACTATATTCATCCCTACCCATCAACTGTCTTCATTCCCACCCATCAACTATCTTCATTCCCAACCATCAACTATCTTCATTCCCACCCATCAACTATCTTCATTCCCACCCATCAACTATCTTCATTCCCACCCATCAACTATCTTCATCACCCATCAACTATCTCCATCCTACCATAACTATCTTCATTCCACCCATCAACTATCTTCATTCCAACCCATCAACTATCTTCATTCCACCCATCAACTATCTTCATTCCCACCATCAACTATCTTCATTCCCACCCATCAACTATCTTCATTCCACCCATCAACTATCTTCATCCACCATCAACTATCTTCTTCCCACCCATCAACTATCTTCATTCCACCCATCAAACTATCTTCATTCCCACCATAACTATCTTCATCCCACCCATCAACTATCTTCATTCCCACCCATCAACTATCTTCATTCCTACCCATCAAACTGTCTTCATTCCTACCCATCAACTGTCTTCATTCCACCCATCAACTATCTTTCCATTCCAACCCATCAACTATCTTCTTCCAACATCAACTATTCATCCCTACCCATCAACTATCTTCATTCCCACCCATCAAACTATCTTCATTCCCACCCATCAACTATCTTCATTCCAACCCATCAACTATCTTCATTCCCACCCATCAACTATCTTCATTCCCACCCATCAACTATCTTCATTCCAACCCATCAACTATCTTCATCCCTACCCATCAACTATCTTCATTCCCACCCATCAACTATTTCTTTCCCACCCATCAACTATCTACATTCCCACCATCAACTATCTTCATTCCCACCCATCAACTATCTTCATTCCCACCCATAAATATCTTCATTCCAACCATCAACTATCTTCATCCCTACCATAAACTATCTTTCATTCCCACCCATCAACTATCTTCATTCCCACCATCAACTCTCTTCAATTCCAACCATCAACTATCTTCATTCCCACCCATCAACTATCTTCATTCCCACATTCAACTGTCTTCATTCCTACCCATCAACTGTCTTCATTCCTACAAATCAACTATCCACCTTCACAACCATCAACTATCTTCATTCCTAACCCATCAATTATCCGCACTTCACACCTAATAACTAATCCAGCCATCCTCAAACGATGATCAGACCCAAACTATCAAGAGATTTCTGCCTTGACATGATAACCAACAGCTTATATATATATATATATATATATATATATATATATATATATATATATATATATATATATATATATATTTATATATATATATATATATATGATAACAAACAGCTTCTTAAAGCGAGGTCACTTTATCAGATAACATAAATGTCACACATAACACAATATAGGATGGGGTCCACCTCTGGTGTAAATTGTGGGACCCATAGCCTCGGAGAAGTGGATAAAAAGCTTCAAGGAAGAATATTTGGATTTCTTCCTGAAGCTGTTTTGAATATATATATATATATATATATTATATATATATATATATATATATATATATATTATTATATATATATTATATATATATATATATATATATAGGGAAGTACCACCTCTGTAGCTGGAATGGGGACCCTCATCCTCAGAGAAGACAATAAATGTACCTCAGGGAAAACTCAAGGTTCTCCCTGGAGCTGTTTGAATATTTTCTTCTCCTACCACCCCCTATATATTTTATATTCTATGTGAACATTTATTAATAAACAGAATACATTTACAGAAAAAACAAACATGAATACAATGGCACAATGTATCAAAGATCATGAATTTCCTTCAGTTCCTCTGAGGCTGGATGCGAGCCAAGTATGCAGCAAGCATTTCCCCTCTGGATGGCTATGCCGAGGTGCTGGAACATGAAAGCGGCTGCCCTTGGGTCCCTGGTGGTATCGATGAGTCTGGAACCCAATTCTTTAAGGAAACATGTTGCATTTTTTCCCCATGATCCCAAGGTCTCTGATCCCACTGGGACAAATTGATACTGTTGGCTTATTTCCCTGTACTTGCTGATCTTGTACTCCTCCCTGTGGTCAGCAGCTCCTCCGTGTTGTCCCACACTGTGATGGATATAGGTGCCAGCCAGTGTGGACACACAGGTATAGTCCCATGCTAAGAGCTTGCCATTCTTCCAAAGATAGATGGTGATCCTGTCGGGGTGGTTTGCTGAGTTGTGGGTATTGTTGGCTGCTAGTGATTGGGGCTCCCTCTCGGCTGGGCATCCAGCTGTAGCAAGGGTTCTCTTGATGATGCCGTTGACCTCATTGCGTCTTGCATGCCAGCCCTTGGTTTTGGAACAGTTAAGACCATGTAGACCGTATTGGTCTGCTTGCGCTTTGCCGCAAATACACGTATATTTCTGTGTGAATTGGGGCAGCAAGGCGCAGAGCCACTGCAATATGGAGGGTCTTAGGGTCAAGTCATGTTCCCATTGCCAATATGGGAACTGTTTGGAGGAAGTCCCCGGAGTGAGGTGCACTCACAGCCTGGAGACTGACAATCTCCTTATCTGATGTTGCAACCCTAAGCATGTTGGCAAGCACCTTTTCAGTGACTGGGCCATTCCAGCTTGACTGTGAGCCAGTGCTGCACTAGGGTTTGGTGCTGGAGCAGCAAGAGTCTCCCATTCAGTGACAGCATTGGCATAGCTAGGGTCTTCTATTCCCGCTGAGTCGCTGAGGGTATCAGGAAGAATTTATCTCATATATATACACCTACCATCCGACTTACGACCAAGTTCGGTTCCGAGAAACCAGTTGTAAGTCGAAATGGTCGTAAGTCAAACTTTACTACTGAATATCAACAAAACATTTTTGTAATGACTTTATTTTATTGTTTTATTTTGGTATTTCATGTTTTACTTTACTTTTTATGCTGTTAGTACTGTATTTTATACTGTTAGGTTTAGGATAAACACTGTGTACAACACAGATAGTTGTTTATTTCCCAGAAATTTGGCATAAAAAACACGGTCATAAGTCCAGTGGTCGTAAGTCGAGCAGGTCGTAAGTCGGATGGTAGGTGTATATATATATATATATATTATATATATATTATATATTATATATAATATATATATATATATATATATATATATATATATATAATATATATTATATATGTCGTGCCGAATAGGCAGAACTTGCGATCTTGGCTTAAATAGCAACACTCATCTTGCCATACAGGACAAGTGAAAATTTGTGTATGCAATAATTTCGCCAAAATCATTCTGAACCTAACTAAAAAAAATATATTTGATTGTGTTTGTTTAGTACTAAATTATTGTAAACGTATTTAAAATATATTTAGTTGGGTTAGGCTAAAATAAATTGCTTTTGTTATAATAAGGTTAGGTAAGTTTTCTAAGATTCTTTTGGTGTAAAATTAAATTTTTTTACATTAACATTAATGAAAAAAATATATCTTTAAACATATAAGAGAAATTTTCAGAAAGGACTTAATTTTAAATGAGTACTAGCTAATTGACCAGTTTTACATATTCGGCACGACATACAGGAGGGCCCCACTTATACGGCTGGTTAGGTTCCAGGCTACCGCCGTAAAGCTGAAACCGCCGTAAAGTGGAACACCCTTTTTTTCCACTTACAAATGCATACAAACACTAGATAACAAGTTTACACTAACATATATTAAGTTAGCAATAGAACCAGGCATCAAAAAACAATAAAAAAGTACAATACACACATAGTGCACTCATTACCTTAAAATATTTATAGTCTTAATCTAGGGTGAGACAAGTAGTATTTATTGTAAATCAAGTGTGGTATGTATGGTAGTCAGCCAGGCTACCATACCAGGCCACCCCACCCACACCTACAATTCTATGATATTTAAGCATCCCAGAGCGATAAAATGTATATACAGTTCACTCATACTTACCTTAAAATATTTGTAGTCTTATGTAGGGTCGGAGTAAGTAAATGAGATAAACGAATAAATGAGAGAGAGAAAGAATGAGTGCATGAGAGGGGACAGGCGCAGAGTTATGTAAACAAACCAGGCGAAGGTAAGTTTTGTAAACAAAGTGTACACGTTGGTTTGTGTACAAGTTACATTGTGTACGGGTTGTCTCTACATTGATACGGTAGAATAAATAAAGAAGAAAAAACTCCCATTCTCATGTAACATCATTTTGAGAAGAAATGATGCTCTGAGTGAAGGCAATGGAAATAAGTCACTCTGACTTTTTTGGTTATCCTAGGTTCTTACACATATGTGTTATGTATGATAATCTATGTAACTGTATTTGTGTATACCTGAATAACTTACTTACATACATACGAAAAGGAAAATTTTCTACAGTT